GTGGCCACTGCTCATATTGATGAAAAAAAAAGTCCTCTTTTTTTGCTGCTAATGTGTTTTCTGAACAAATTATACACGCTGAAAGTTTCAGTGCTGGTTATCTGCTGACGACTACGCTCAAGGAGGGAATCTGGATGTTATGTGGCATTCTGTGAATAACACCAGGGAGGGAAAATTGCTCACTCACACTGAAAATGCTTCATTTAAAAAAAAAAAAAAAAAAGAAAAAAAAAGAAAAAAAAAGAAAAAAAAAAACACCACCTCTATCATCTCCAACCTCTAGCAATGGCACTCGCAACAGCTTTCTTACATACCTACACTTTCCCTCCCCATGAAAGTCTCAGATGATGCTTTGTACCCAACAGCCATCAAACTCTGCCCACGTTTTCCCTCCTGCAAGTTTTACCCAAATTTGAAGCCACCACTGCACTGCTTTCAATGCTAGTGAGACAGTATCTTGTCTTCTCCAAAGAGAGACAAAAAACTGCATTTTCTCCCAATTTGAAGGCACATGAGCACCAACGAATGCTAACTGTGGTAACAGTCATGAGTTGTCACATGTGAGTGGTAAATAAAAAGGCTTTTCTGGAAGGAAAAAAAAAAAGAAAAAAAGGAAAAAAAATAGCATTCATGGCTTTATATATACACTCTACCACACAGCTCCTCAGCAAGTTGCTCAAATGTTTTCTTTCCAAAGCATCTATTAAAAGGTTGGCAGTTCCCTCGTATCATACCTGAGACTCATCTCACATGGCAAACAGAAGTCTATGTGAAATGGGTTAACCCAGACAGTTTCCTTTAAAATGTAAGATAAAGGGCTAGAAGTTCTTCACAACCTTTTGCTTGCCAGCATTTGCAAGACAAGCAGCAAAATATACCAGGATTCCTAAACACGGCATGTGCTTCCAACCAGAGCTGTAGCATTCATTTCATATGTAGTTTATGAGCACTCAACTTCAAGCAACAGGCATGAGCATCTTTCATCTCTGTAACATTGCTTTGCCAGCATCAATCCAAGTATGTAACCAGGTTTGGGGTAAATGCGTGAGTCTAAAAGTAGGCTGCAAAAAAGCAGCAGTTTGAAGGGCTGGGGATGCTGCTGGAGGAGAAGCGCTGCAATCCTATGCGAGCAAGCATCAGAGCTTAAATACACTGCAGTGCTTTGTTTTGTGAATTACGCTCACGTTTAAGTATCTGGATGAAATTTAAGTGCCACCAGAGTCAAACTCATCTGCTCTGCAAGACACCACAGACCACGTGGAAGGACTCAGTCCTCTGTTCATCTATAGGTCATATCCGTCCATCCATAGCACCCATTCGAGCACAAGGTCTCAAGCACAACATCAGACATGGACACAGAAATCCCTGCTAGCAGATGCATCCTGATGACTCCAACCCTATGCAGAACACATGCAAAGGCTCCTCCTGCCCTCAGGTGACACAGATTTACACCATTACTCATGCTGACAGCAACCCCAGAAGACACACCAAAAGCCAAGGAAAAGCCACCTGCCCACTCAATCTAGCTGAAGTATAGAAAGGAAGACAAAAGCAGCAAAAGTAAATCAGTTTTCTTGAAGTTCTTTCAATTTTCATAGAGCAGAATGCATTTATGGCACAGGCAGGGAATCAAAAGCCTTTATTTTTATCTTGATATTATTTACCCTTTCCCATTTTCTATTTAAATATCCCTGAACTCCCAGAAGAATCAGCAATTCAAAATACCATTTGATATATATATTTATAAGCGAGGGGAAGCACAGACTCATTCCTTTACAGCTTGCCTCCTCTTTGCTTTTTTTTTTTTTTTTTTTTGTTCTGTTTTAATTAGATTTTAAGTGGTGTAACATCAATGTGCAAACTTCTGAAGATACACAAGAATGACTTCTTGCTCCAGAACAGGCATCACAGGGAATCGTAGAATCATTAAGGTCGAAAAAGGCCACTAAAATCATCCAGTCCAACCATCAAACAACCCTACCATGCCACTAAACTATACCCCTCGGTGCCACATCTATACATTTCTTAAACACCTCCATGGATTGTAACTCCATCATCCATGGTTAGTGAGCATGGTGGCGATGGGTTGATGGTTAGACTGGATGATTTTAGTGGTCTTTTCCAACCTTAATGATTCTGTGAGTCTGTATAGCCCTGTATCATTCACACACTGAGCTTTCCACCCACAAATCTGGGCCACGACCCAAGGACAGCACACAAATTTTGCTCTCAGCATCATTTGCAATCCTCTGAGCAAAGTAAAGGCCAACACTAGGAAGGTGCCAAACACACAAATTTCTAACGTTAATCCTCAGGGCATCTCTGCAGTCACAAAACAAGGTGCTTCAGCAACTTATCCAAGACAATGATGTCCAAACCTTCATGGTCCAGTGTCTCCACCACCCTTCATCAGGAACACGGGAGGCTCAGGCTCAGTATAAGGAAAAAGATATTCACCAGAAGCAGTGATGGTGGGCATGGAACGTGCTCCCCAAAGCAGTGGACACAGTCCAAGAGCATTTGGACAACCCTCTCAGAAACAGGGTTTGAATTTTGAGTGGTCCTCTTTGGAACCAGGAATTGAACTCAGTGATTCTTGTGGGTCTCTTCCAATTTGGGATATTCTATATTTATATGATTATACAATACTATAAAATGCAAGGCAAAGGCTCCATGACCAAAAAGTTTCTCCAAGCTCATTTTAGACACAAGTCAAGAGAAAGCAGGCAAGGAGATGTAACTGAGAAGCCAGGATTACAGAGGATGCACAATTACATTTACACTTGAGCTCAATGTCTCCCACATCCTATAAAGCCACATTAGTGGCGGCTGTGCTTTTTATTTTCACTTGCATCAACAGACACAAGCAGAACAGCAAGGGAGGGAACAGTGGATATTATTTCCTGCTTGCTTGATGTCTGGAGAAAGGGAACCAGCGCGTCATCAGCACCCTGGGAATAGCCAGAGACCAACCTAGAGATGAGTGGAAGGAGTTCTTTTTACACTAAGAGTGGTGAGTCACTGGACCAGGTTGCCCAGAGAAGTGGTGGATGGCCCATGCCTGGAGACATTCAGGGTCAGGCTGGACAGAGCTCTGAGCAACCTGATGTAGCTGCAGGTGTACCTGTTCCCATTGCAGGGAAGAGATGACCTTCAGGGGTCCTTTCCAACTCAAACAATTCTATGATTCTGTTGGATGAATAAAGGAGACCATGCAACACCAATACCCCAACTCTATGCAACCCTACATTTCTACCCAACTTGATAAGCAAAATCTTGGGACTCCAATCCCACAGTGCACACGTGCCATCTCTGAGTTTGCAAACCAGGGGGTACTTGTATGGGAGCACAGAACACATGAGAACAAGGCCTGAGCTGCAAATGTCACAATGCATTTAAAAAACAAACAGACCAAGCTTTCTCAGTGTATATTCCATGCATTTGAGGCACAAGAAAAACACAATTCCAGGTTGCAAAGCCTTCTGCTTTTTTGATATGCACACAAAGACACTGAAACAGAGTTTCCCAAACGCTGTCCCATGTAGCTAGGACTAAATTTATCTTCATACAGTTTAAAGTACAAAGAGCAACAAAAAAGGTTCAGCTGGCCAAGGACTACTGCAGAAGCAGTGCTTTCTCTGCTCAATGAGATGATTATTCTTCTTCCTGCATTTTCCCAAAAAAACATTTGTTTACAAGTCTGAGAATGACATTTCCATCCTAGCAGCTGATTCAGAGCCACATGGGCTAAGAAAACAAAGAACACCCATGCCCAGAGGCTTCCTAAGATGCACTGGGTTTGCACGTGCTTTGGAGCCTAGTACCAGCTGAACCCGCTGCTGCCACTGAAGCATTAATGTCCCTCTTGGCATATATCCCTAAGCAAGGCCAGTCTTGTCCTCAAGTTGCTCAGAAGTGCAGAAACCCTATGCAAGACCAACATGTCTCTAGTTTGCATGCGCACACCCTGTGGAACGTCAGCTCTTTTCCTGGAGCTTGCAAACATACAAACTCCATGCTACACACACTGCTTTGCATATGCATGCCCCATGAAAGGCCAGTCCTCCCCTCCCAGCTTGCAAACACAAGCATAAACCCTGTGCCTGGCCAGTAAGTCTCTACTTTGCACATGCATGCCGTGTGCAAGGCATGCCCTGTGCAAGACAGGGCTGTGCAAGACCCCATGCAAGCCTCCAGTGCAATGCCAGCCATGCTCTCATCTTGCTAACACCCAAAATCCAGGCCATAAATGCTACTTTGTATATGCATGCCCCTGTGAAAGGCAAGTCACAGACCTTATTTTCAACATGCAAACCCCACAGCTCCTCCCAGCTCACAAGCACTATAATGTAAACTGTGTGCAAGGCCAATAAGTCTCTAGCTTGCACGTGCAAGCCCTCTGCAAGGCCAGCCCTGCTCCAATGATGCAAACACACCAACTCTGCGCAACAGGCCCCACTTTGCACATGCACACCCTCACCCATACAAGGCCAGTCCCCCTCCTAGCTTGCAAACGCTAACATAAATCCTGCGCACGGCCAATAGGTCTCTAGCTTGCACATGCACGCCCCGTGCAAGGCCAGCCCCGCTCCCAGCTTGCAAACACACAAACGCTTCACAACCGAACCTACTTTGCACACGCACGCCCCGTGCAGCACCAACGAGAGACCCTGCCGTGCACGTGCAAAAGCAAGCCAGAGACCTCACCTTGTGCATGCACGCTCCATGCAACGCTGGCCTTGCTCCCAGGCTGCAAACACACTCCCAAACCCCGTGCAAGGCCAACAACAGCCTATAATTACACATGCACTCCGCGTGCAAGGCCAGCCCCGCTCGCAAACACACACCCCTGTGCAACGTGTGTCCCCACGCTGCACATCCCCATCCCGGCACGTCCTTACGTTATCCCCCCCGCATCCCCCGCTGCCATCCCGGGGTCGCGCACACCCCCGGGGTGGGGAGGAGGCGGGGACAGCCCCGCTGCCGTGCGTGTCCCTCACCTGCCGCCGCGCGCCCGCGCCGTGCCGCCGGCACCCAAACATCACGTGATCGCGGGGCGCGGGGCCCCTCCCTGACCACGTGCTCGCCTCCGCCCACCGGAGTCCGCCACCGGCTCTCCCATAGCCCCTCAGGTGCCGCAGAGGACTGCAACTCCCAGCGGGCACCGCGAGGCGGCGCCACGCCTCCTTCCCCCTGAGTGGCCAATCAGAATGGAGCGTGGCAGGCACTTCTCGCTGTCCCGCCCACCGTCCCTCGGTGCTTCCCGCCCTCTCTCCCCTCAGCGGGTTTTGCATCAGAGCGCTGCGCTTGCCTCCTGCGCGCTATCCGAGCTATGAGCTGGCTTCGTTCTGTCACCGTCCTCTTCCACATTCTCCCAGCGTCCCTCCCGCGACTAAACAGGGCTTCCCCTGCAGCCTCCCGTCCTGCTGCTCTCCCTTTTTGCCTCAGTTCCTCGATATTCCTGTCTCCTGCCGTGCTTTGTTGCACCTTCACCGTTACACTGTGCCACCTGGGCACACTGCTGGCTCGTATTCAACCGACTGTCCATCAGTACATCGAGGTCCCTTTTCCATCAGGCAGCTTTACTCGTCCCCAAGCCTGTAAGGTTGCCTGGGGTTGTTGTGACCAAAATACAGGACCCGACACTTAGCCCTATTGAAACTCATGCAGTTTGCCTTGGCCCATCTACCCAGTCTATCCAGTCCCTCTGTAATGCCTTTCTCCCCTCTGACAGATCAACACTCCCAACTTGGTGTCACCTGCCTGAGTCAACCCCTTCTTCCACATCACGCTGATAGGATGAGTGATAATGGCTTTAAGTTGCGCCAACAGAGGTTTAGGTTGGATATTAGGATAAATTTCTACTCAGAATGAGTGATGGGGCACTGGAACAGGCTGCCCATCCGTAGTGTTCAAGAACAGCATATGTGTGGCATTGAGGGACATGGGCTGACGGTAGGACTACATGATCTTAGTGATCTTTTGCAACATTAATGACGCTACAACAGATCATTTTTTGGCCCAGAAAATAGCTCCAGCTCACACTGCACCTGCAAGGAATTGCTTTTTATTTGCTAAACGACAGCAGCTTTACTTAAGTGAGCTGGAAATGGTTGGCTTTGCAAAAGGAGTTATGAAGCAAGGATTTTCTTGATAAGGCCTTTAAATGACAATTCATTTTTACAGGGGGTTTACAAGCCAGCTGCCTTTTCAGAAATGTAATTCTGCACCAACAGCCTTGCCAAAAAAAGTTTTAAAAGGGTTGAGGGGCCACCTAAGCTTCCATAAACTTAAGGGTTTTACAACACCAAACCATTATCTGAGCATTTTTTTTTTCTCCATCTTTTGCTGCATTGGTAAATCATTTACTTGTGTGGCCTCAAAAGAAAATCCTGAGGGAAAAGGGCTATAGAAAGGCACTGAATATGAAATACAGCTGTCCTACCTGCCATCTGCAAAATCCTGACTGCTCTTACATGTGCAACACATTTCGTTCTTGCTGGAGGAGTTAGTACTGAGCCACCGAGGAAGAGCAGGTTAATCCTACAGTAAGCAGTAATTGCAGTTTAAACCCAATGAAAATTCAGGATAGTCCAGTAATTTGCAGTACAAGTCGTACTTACTTTTGATGGGACCCTCGTGAAAGTAAATAAGGAAAATATATATAAATATGTGCTGATACAAGATAAAGATGAAATATTCTTGGGGAGAACAACCATAGCAATTACAGTAGGATAAAACTGTACTTTGATTTGCTTGTTTTGCATTTTGAAGAAATACTGCTTAATCAATAAGCGTGTTATTCATACAAAAGTAATACCACGTATCTCTTGGGATATTTTTTTTCCGAGGACTTTGGGCTTTGTGTGCAGTCGTTTTGTGTGCATTAGGCTTGGTCCTTGTTATCACCACTTGCTTATTCGTCTGTCGTTAATAGTTTTCATAGAATCACTGAATAGAATCGTAGAATAGTTTGAGTTGGAAAGGAACCCTTGGAGGTCATCTGCTCCCTTGAACTCAGAAAAAAAAATTAACAGCTTTTTTTTCCATCCCATAGCAATAAGGGATTGACAGTGAGACTGTTATCCAGTTAGATGGCTGCGTCTTCAGGAATTCCTTCCGGTATGTGAAAGGTGTTTCCTTTTGACTCACAAGTTTGTTTTGTGAATCACCTTAAATCAGAACCTTTCCAGAGCTATACTATTAAAGCATTTGTAGAAAGGTTATCCTCATGTTCTCTGGATCACTTTTTCCTGGACTGTGTTTATTCAGTTTTGCTTTAATAATACCTCCTGGCTCTTAATCAACTGCCACTGTCATTTTTTTAATATCATCTGATGAGTTTCTTTGTTTGATGTATGATAAAGCAAGTCATGCTTTTATGAAAATGTTATCAAGGATTTAATAGAAAATGATAAATCTACAATGGCCAAATATCTTTGGGAATATTAAAAGAACAGTGTATCTTCTATTAAGTTATAATGTAAGAAAAACAGAGGAACAAATGTAAATTTTTGCTAGATCGTATTATATTCTTATATATAACCAGTGGGCTTTCGTTCTCAATAAATTCTACATAGCTTCCTCACAGGCTGTGGGAGTACAAAGAATAACTTCCATGAAGAATAAGGAATTGGCATTTGGGTCTCCCAAGATATCATTTGTTTTGTGGTCCTAACATTGCTTCTCATAAAATCAAAGCTACTATTAATTTTCTGTTGTTTTGGATTTGCTGAAAAATGTTGGTATGTGCAGGAAAAGAGAGGGTAATTGAATGGCGTATCACAGGAAGGCTTTAATTACTACTTAATTTATCGCATTCAACCACAGTTGTTGAGTCCTTCCCAATAGCAATATAAACTTGACAGCCAAAATGTCTACCACAGCATTAAAGGAAGAATTAGGAGCAACTTATTATAACAACATGAAGAACACACCCTAAATACTTGTCTGAGGTATGTACAAGTCAATTCCTCCAGATTTTAGAATAATCTAGGAACTATTTGTAGTATAGTTTTTTCTTCCTCTCGTGCCTAGGGAATCTTCCGCTCTTGTCCAAAAATGCTTCTTTTCAGAGGTTCCTTTCTCCATTTGCTCCAGCTTCTTAGCAGATCTCAAGGAGAAGCGTTCTCTTTTCTCCTCTTTCCAGACTACTGCCTCCCTTTGCTGTTATTTCTGCATTATCCACAGTACTTGTATAGGAATTATAGCTTTTCTGAAGACAACCAGACAAAATATAGCTGTGTTTCAGTACCACTTAACTTTTCAATCCTGGATTAATTGGACAATTGAACAGCTGAAAGTGTTGGTTTTTTACTTTGATAAAAATGCTGCTTTTCAGTCAAATGTGTTATATACCAAACCAGTCAACTGCAAGAAGCACTGGAACAAATAGAATTTGGTCTGAATGTGGGTTTTCATTTTCCATTTTCAGAGCTCCATGACGGTGACCTGAGATTCCCTGAAAACAGTACAGCTCACAGAGCTTATCACAGCATATCTGTATGTTGTTACCTGTGAGCAATTTAATAAAAAAGATATTATAGCAATAATAAAAGGAGGCTGGAGAATGCCAACTAATCCCCGAACAGCCTCATTTCAGTCTATTTAAAGTCCAAGAGAGACTTGTATTCCAGGACCTAGCAGATTCTGGCATAAAACAGATGTTTTCATCAAGTACTGCAATGGCAGCAATACATGTCCCAAGCTGGTGACTATCTGGCAGGTCTGATACATCACAAGGAGGAATCACGAGCAGTAAGGAGTCTATTTTCAATACTTTGTACTCCATTCCTCTGTCGGTTACACCCAGGCATAAATGTGGATTTTAGTATTTTTATGCCTACATTTATCTTAGCTTCATTGGATTTAACTCTTTGTTTTCTAGAAACGTATTATTGTGTCCATATTAGCAAGAGACCCAAATGAAAATAAAAAGCTTTGTATGTGAAGCAGTGATAAGTCAATCGCCTCATCAGTAAAGCGTGTCCCATACTCCCAGTAATCCTGGTAATCATCTTTGTTTATGAAAGCCAGAAATATTAAACTGAACTCCTCACCACTCTGAGCAGGGATGATGAATGGCAATTTAAATTAGTGTTGACAGAGCTAAAGGAACACATGCTGAGTGCAACTGTCTTAACACCACAGAGAAGGAGCATGGCTAAACCAAGCTAGTGGGGAGCAAAACTTGGAGCTAACTAATGGACTTCTGAACAAATCCCTCATCCTGTCTAACTCCTCTGATAGCCTGTTTGATGCTGGAAAAAAAAAAAATAATAATCCATCCGAATATTTGTAAATATGGAGAAGGGAGTTTTACTTTTCACTTAAGAGTACTGCCATCGCTGCTGCACCTGTATAATCTGAAGAAATGTTTAACCCATGTGATAAGCTGCAGTATGGGAGTTAGAAATCCAGCCTGCAAGGAGAGCATCACAGAAATGAAGGGAGATTTCAGGTGTCAAAGTCTTAGTACCTAGGTATGCCCCATAACATCCCATTATCCAGTGAGTAAATGAATTCCTCCCTTTTATCATGAGCCATATCCTTGTGAAACACCTAAGCACATCAAGGAAGCAGAACATGGAACCATGAAGTACAGGTATATACATAGCCTGTTAGAAAATGGGAAAACTGCCTTTGTTTATCTGTATTCTCATTTAACCTACAAATGTTTCATTTGCTGCCTGATTCTAAAACTGAATTCCTGCCACCAACATCAAGTATTTATTTGGTTACTGCTATTAGAGCTGCAGATACCAGCACTACGTAGCCAAGAATCATTCTTTCTACCTGTGGTCTCATCCAGCTATTATGCAGAACTGAGTTGAGCGCTGTGTGTTAGAACTTGATTTCTAAATGATTGTTTCCAAGTTAGAAAAGCTGAGCACAGTAGACTGTATAAGTCTTTTTATCTGAGTAACTGCTTCCAGTGCCTCGGTGAGCCCTTTTGAAACTTCATCAGCTCTCCCTATGTTTGCAATGTCTGGCCTCTGTCACTCTGCTTGGAAAAAAGAAAACAAACATCGTCTTGAGATACAATGGTGCAAATGCACTTTTTCC